GTATCTAGTCCTGTGTCCTCTGCCATAGTATTCGTGATGTTCAGCATCGGATCATTGACTTGGTACATTCTCAAACGTTTGGCCGGACGGTTGAACAGAAAATTGGTCAAGGGGATTGTCTTTACTTGCCACTTTACTTGTAAATTTGTGATGGTGATGGAACCTCTCACTAACGATGCTGGCAAAACGTTTGGGAGTGTACCAAGTCAATCGTCCGATTCTGGACATCGCAAATACTATGGCAGAGTACGCAGGACTAGGTACATTCCACAGGGTCTCTCTGATGCTTCGACAAAGTAGCAAAAACGAGGTCGAATCAACATAATATGAAGTGGGGTTGATAGAAAGAGATGCAGCACTAGAAGCTAAAACAAAAAGTAGGGATTATGAGTGGTGCCACAACAGATAAATTATGGCTCTGTACTAAGGATGGCGCCTGTCGCAGACAGGGCCGGCGAAACGTTTGTAAACATACCAAGTCAATGTTCCGATGGGGTAAATTATGAGGAATACTAGGGAAAAGGCCAAAGAGTTAGGCTTGGCAAGGTCTTCTTGTCACTCCGACTAAGTTGCAATTAGCATAATAAAGCTAAATGAGTCTTCGACCAATCCCAAAGTCACACCAACTTAGTCCTCAAATGTATGATCTAGAAAGACTAAGTTTTAATAGGTGTTATGTAGCTACAGTACAGGAACAATGATATTATGTGTAAAATGAACAAATAAACTATTAAGTAATAGGCGAAATGATGCGAAAACTGAATGACGCAAGCGCGAACAAAGTAAACTAATGATACTGAAAGTAAAAAACAAACTAGGCCACAACTCCATGATAATAAAAAAAGTTTTCTGTTGGTGTTTTACTTATAGCAATGACTTGAAATTGTTGCTATGTTAAAGATCTGATGACAACCTGAGAGCTGCGTGCATATGCCAGTGGTTGGTGCTTGTTTGACAGGCGTGGGTAAGCGAAATACAGCGACAAGGATTAAAATGAGCTAATTAACTAGCTCTGATCTAGGTATCAGGCAACTATGCTTAGAATGCAATATATAGGCAGAAGAATAAAAAAAGACGGGATGGCCAAGATCTAGTGATTAACAAGAGAATTTAAATTTCCATCATTAAAATGTAGTTAACTAAGGATAATGACAAAATGGTAAGAAAGGGATGAGAACTTAGTAACTAATTCACCTAGGTCGCTTAAGGTGATTCAAGGATTGATCGTCAGGGTTTCCTATAACGAGATTAGTAGACCTCACGATGCCTTTTTTCCCAATAAGCTAATTCATCCAATATCCCGACATCGCTTGAGTTCCGTCAGCATCGCTAGCAAGATTCGATACTGGGTCATAGCATGGCGACGTTATCAATCCACTACACAAACTATGTTATTATTCAAGTATCAAGTATAGTCTATAAAATTATTTATACGAAAGGTAATTAGTGTTGCTGATAAAAGTGGCAAATATGTTTGCTTAATCAAATAAACAACTATAAATGTGATTCAAATGAGGCCTGAATTGCCTTGAATTTAACATGTGTCTTATGAACATTTAGCACCAATATGTATGCTGAAAAAAAGTTAAGGTCGACATGAAGCTCACTACCTGATATCAAATCATAATAGGGATGCTGATAAGGCCTAGACGTGGTCGAAACTAAAAGCCACCTTAGATGATAGCCTTATTGGGAGCAAAGCTAAGTGAACGCCATCACGTCATGAGGTTTACTTATCACTTTGTAGGAAAGTTTAACAATAAGTCGCTAAATCATTTTAAGCGACCTAGGGTGATTACTTTTTTAGCATTTTTATTTATTTTAATCGCTCGTTTACAAATAAGATAAAATCGTAAGATGTGAAAAAAGATTGCAATCGCACAGAAGTTGTCATAATCTAAGGTACAGCCATGTTAGTGGCAGATAAGTATAACAAGGTAAATTTTAAAAGTATACATTTAGATAGTCAGTAATTAGTATTTTTAAGAGTATACTAGACTTAAAGGTTTATATATGTAGTAAGAAAGATAAGAAAATTCAGAAATCGAATTCCCTGTTTTGCGGTTTGTTATGTACGTCTAACTAGAAATCGAATATAGAAATAATGCTAGAAAACGATCTTTTTATTTGGTCTAAGATTAGCAGGTTAAATTCAGTCAGCACATATAATTTATTATGGACACCACGTTACCTACCATAAAGCAATATTGACCCTCATAATTAAATTAAAATGTATAATTAAATTTAAGAATATGAAAATTATCAGAAAAAATAGTGCAGCTTCAAATGGACTAAAAATACGAGTGAAGCGAGGAGTGATGCCACAACGGTTGAACAGAAAATTCAAAGGGATTGCCTTCTCTTGTCGCTTTGATAGGTTGTAACTCTATGCACATGGGTGATTGATTAGAGGCAGGGGGTGGACGAATTACGCCTCGAATAGCACAGATACAGGAGGGGAGGGGTCGAGTGAAATACATGTACCAGGGAGATAGCAGACTGATTGGACGGGGCAAGAGGGAGACTCTGATTGGATCTAGGGAAGGACTACATAAAAATATGACAGACTCTGGTCAACATTCCCAGCACAAGGGTGAAGGGAGTGATAACGACAGTGTGGAGTGTGAAAGGTTTTCATGAATGCCGCTCGAAGGAGCACAGCACACCACACTACATTTAAAATAAGCAAGGTAAACATTGTGTCAGGAAAGGCATGATAGGACGATATAAGAAATGTGAATAGCCCAGGATAGAAGGGGAGATACCACAACTGTTTAGCACGCGTTTAGTCAGAGGATGGGCTTCACTTGTCTCTTTGACGACTTGTAATATGGTGCTACAAATGGCGATACTCACTGACGATGCCGGCGAAACGTCTAGGAATGTACCACGTCCACGGTTCTACTCTGTAAATGATCATGCATACAATGGACTCCGGGCTAGGTGCGTTCCTTATAAGTTTTCCTACCAATATGACCAAGTTTCGAAAACAAGGTCAAAACAACTTCTATACAACAAAAGAAGACTGCGACCACACAAAGGCCACACCATCTTGGTCTTTATACCATATAATAGATTGATGAAAGAATTTGCTCTCCATATAAAGGTTGGGCAAGAAGTATATTCAAAAAGATAAATTAAAATTTATATAGAATGAGGTAGACAACAAACCCACCGCCGATTTCCAGCGTTCACAGGCACGGCAGCCTCCCAGACCGAGTTGGCAAGTGTGTTACCGATGGCGCGCATCACGCTGACAGGCTCAGGAGGCCAGTCATCCAAATGAAGGGAGCGTATTCGAGATATATGAGTGCCCAGCTGGCGGTGCACGCCGCTACAACTGATACAGACCATAGCACCAAGATTGAGGCTAGCCCAATCAGGGTCTACAAGCATGGAAGCCATAGGAGAGCAAGGAAAGGGAGAAGACGAACGAGAGTGAATAATGAGAAAGTAGAAATGAATATTACAGAAGCAAAGGCGATGAATTTGTAGGATGGAACAGATATTAAGAAATTACATGAGGTAAAGGATCATATTAATGGAAAATTCTCTAATTAAATCAGCATTAATCTGATTGGATAAGCAGAAAAATCCATTTATTAAAAGAATAAGCCGAGAATTAGTGTGATAAGTAGCAAGATTTGCCAAAAACATTTAAATAAAGATCAAAGTTCTGGATGTTTAACTTTGGCCTATAAAATCAACATAGAAATATATAAACAATAAGTGGCTATTACCTACAGTATTCAAAATGAAAAGGTGTCCAAAAATCTATACAGTAGGCGAAATTTCAAGTTGCATCAGAGCGCAAGCATAAAATAGTCTTTGGTAATGATAATATAATCATTCTTTGCAACCAGACCTGTTTGCAGAGGGACTTCAGACATGTCTATCATAATATATATTGCGTCATCGGAGTTCCGACCTTGCCCATATCTAATAAGAAAATTCAGTGGAATTCGAACCGAGAAAGTGAGGATAGAAGCAAGAACATTATTCCTTATAGTGACATAGGCCGTCCTGGAGGTTGCCTTAAAAATTAAGATAAGATAGAGAAATTTTTTTATTAAATCCTTAAATACCCATTATTTCCTATCACATTTTGCAGCACTTTATCAGAATGCAGTGCAACTAATCTAATTAAGCTAGCGATGATGACTTACGTCCAATATCATAGTTGACCCAAATCATATCATTAGATTGGCAGAGGTCGAATAGCCTTACAGTAAGAGAACAAACCAATGGTCTTAATATAGGTCAGTCTACGAAAGTCCATAAGGCTAATGGAAGCAAATAATCTGAACCTCTACCCTTCGATCAAAACTTGTTATAAATATTGTAGTTTAATCTAACTAGTTACTATAAAATTCGAACAAACCATAATGTCTTTAAGGCATTTTCAGTCTATTTCGTATGTTTGTGTATATCCGCCCGAACTGTTATCTCATATCATCAGCCAATCGCATTCATATGTAGAGGAATTTCGTACATTCGTGTGTATGTGCGATTGTGCAAGAATGCAAGACTTATTCCCTTCATTTTTGGATAAACCCGCCACATATTCCACTTTACGCTAATCTTAGCAGAATGATCCCTGTGTGCTGCTCAGGTTCATTGCTTATCTAAAAGCGTTAAATCCGATTGACTTGTTTAGCCACTGTCCCAATCAACACTGGATAATACAAAGATGTTAAGCTCGCATTCCGTGCAGTTTTGGACGAATTTTTGAATAATTATTCTCACATCTTTCATTCAAATCGTTTAGATAAGTATTTTCTGGAAAGAAAATCTGCATTAGTTTCTTAACAGACATGGTTTAACTAAAATATGAAGACCAAGATGTTGTGGCCTGTTGTCAAGGAGACCTAGTTGGATCCATCTAGTCCGACGTCCTCTGCTATAGTAATTATCAATATTCCGGCGAAACGTCTGGAAATGTACCAAATCAAGGATCCAATGCTAGGAATAATGCTAACTATTATAGCAGAGGACGCCGGATAAGATGCATCCAACTAGGTCGCTCTTACAACACGACTAAACTGCGAAAATGAAATCAGACCATTTGGCGTAACCTAGTTCTCGCAACTCAGTCATGTTTTCAGAGGAACTATTCC